GATTTTATATCCTGCCACTTTACTGAATTCCTGTATGAGTTCTAGCAGTTTTGGGGTGGAGTCTTTTGGGTTTTCCCCATAAAGTATCATATCATATGCAAAGAGTGAGAGTGTGACTTCTTTGCTGATTTGGATGCCTTTAATTTCTTCTTGTGGTCTAGTTTTTTTTTTTTTTTTTTAAAAAAAGACATTCCAGGATAAAAGATGTCCTGTTTGATTATTTATAAATTAAGCATTTAGTATAACAGAAAAATATTTTATTCTACAAAATTTAAACATATACAGAAGTAGAAAGGATCAGATAACAGAACCTATGTACCCATCACCCAGCTTAAACAACTATCATCCCAAGACCTGGAGTATTGTTTTAATCTGTACTCTATTCCTCACTCCCTATCCCCACCTCCACCCCCAATCCTGATTATTTTCAAGCAACGTTTATAATCGTATCATTTTATCCATAAATTTAATCATGTATAAACACATCTGGGTAGGTTTGTTAATGAATTTCCTCATATTCATGTTGGCTTCCTGCACGCTTTGGCGGCTCCATATCTGACATTTACTGTCTTTTCTTTACCTAATGTGGAATTTTGTTCTGAAGGACAAAATATAACAACTAAATATGGAAAATGCTAAGCTGGCCAGACTTGTTTAATTTTCCTATTACTTCAGTTCATATTTTAGAAAATAGCTTACAATGTGGAAGTGTATGAAATTGCAAGCAAAATTAAAACAATATTTGCATTTTTTTTTCGAGAGAAAGAGGAGCTCTTAACCACAGGGGAAATATGAGTTAAAAACTTCCAAGCTCTACTCCTCTTATTTTAGGAACATATTAAATGATGTTAAGGTAAGACATATATAACCCAGTTGGAGAGGCGCTTAGAGAAAGTCAAGGATTAGGGGACATTCTGAGGGAACATTTTTCATATGAATAATTAGGTGAAGCCCACACTAGAACTGAGAAATAAGATATTGTTGAAGATGAAAGTCTGATCAGAAAATATTAAGCCATATAAAATATGGTTTATAAAATACAACAATATGAAATGTTTCTTTTGGGAACTAAAGTACTATCTTTCCATATATGTCTGTATACAGTGATTATAAGTGGGCTCCCTCAATATATTATATATATTAACAAAAGTACACATTGTCAGGGTTGGCTGGGCTGGAGGAGGATGATAATTTTATTATTTAAAAATCATATGTCATTAACAGCTGCCTCTATCTTTATGTATTTCTTTCTGCCATTTTTTTGGTCTTTACTAAGAACCAGAGCTAATTTATTCATTCAGTGCACCTAAGTCACAGTGCTTTCTTCATAAATATACAAGTTAAATATTTGGAGGAATACATAAAATCGATCTCTAATTTTTCAAATCCAAAATTAGCGTTCTACAATTTATCAAATAGAAATTCCCTGTTATGCCCCTGTTCCAAAGCAGAAAGCTTCATAGACTCATAAAGATTTTTAGCTGAATAGAATCTATGAAATGATCTAATTCAGCTCCATGTTTGGAGCTGGAGGTCTGTGGATCAGATGAACTGTCAAAGGTCACATGACTAAAAAGTGCCAGTTCAGGACTCACTTCAGCAGCACAAATACTGAATTTGGAACTGCGCAGAAAAATTAGCATGGCCTCTGCACAAGGATGACACACAAATTTGTGAAACATTCCATGAAAAAAAAAAGGTGTCAGTTCAGAGATAAGAAGGCAATGTTTTTACCTCCCAGGTTGGTGACCCCCCCCAGAGATTACAAAAGATGAGGGTTTTTATCTCTAGTGAAAAATGAAGACAATTATTTGGTTCTTTTACTTACGATGGTGTAGAAATCTGTACCTTACTACTATGACATTGAATACAAGTCGTTTCAAGGAGTTATGTGATTTTTAAGGTTTCTTCAAGCTCTAAGATGATGAATTTCTAAGAAGAGGCTCTGGTTTGCATTTTTTAAATTGAATACTATGTTTTTGCATAAACTAATGTTATAAAACTGTGCCACGTATTTCCAAAAGAACAAATATAAATGCAAAGAAGAAAGGGTTAGGCGTCCGCTTCTGTCTCTGTTGTTGGTATTAGTGAAGATGATATTATGATCATAGCTGTGCTGAAAAAAGAGTTCTAGTAACAGTCACCTCCCCACATCCTCAACTTCTTCTCTGAAGACTTCCTTTACCTCCTTTCCTTAATTAAAACTTGGTTCTACCTTGAATTTTTATCAACTACTCACTCCTCACTACTGTTTTCAGATTATTTCTCCTTCCTCGGGTCAGATCTCCAGCTTCCAATTGCATGTCTAGTTTTCTACAGGCATACAAAACCAACTGCTTTGAACTCCCACCCCTCCACCACCTCACTGTCAAATCTACCCCATGTCCTATGCTCACTGTCCCACAAAAAGACACCCTAAGTTTACAACCGCCCAAGACAGACACCTGGGAACAACATTTGACCCCTCCATACCTCACCCAGTTAAAAGTGAATTTCTGTTGATGCTACCAGTTAAATACATCTCCAGTCTATTTGCAGTTCTCCAAAGTTGTTGACTTGCAGTAGTTCTACTCACCATCACCTCCTTCATGAATGTGGCCACAGCCTCCCTCATTAGACTCAGCCCCTTCTAATCTGTTTGTGCTTGATGACAACCATGTGTAAGGTATTTTTTTCTTTTAGCATTCATATTGCCTCCGTAACAGAAACTGAACCTCAGGACAACCAAACAATTGGCTCACATGAACACAACTCTTGAGTGTTAGAGCCAGATATTCTGACTCCTTATTAGGGTCTCACTAACTTCCGGTTGTCCCTTTTGCAGGTCTGGAGATGTGTGCACCTCTGAAGAACATGCAGTGAAGAACTGAGGCCTCCACAAGGGTAAAATAATAGAAGGCTCTCAACTTGTAAGCCCTAACCGTAACATAATGTTCAGCTGTTCAAAGGACACATTCTGAGTCATAATAGTGGCATTTAGAGGCCATCAGTCTACTGCATTGTGACCTTTTGAGAACCATAACTTCATTGTGTGTAACTTGTTCCTACTTTCCAACATCTCATTTTATTATCATTATAAATCATGTGCATTTTCTGAGAACTTTAATTATCAGGTTGCCATAAATAAAAAAAAAACGAAGCTCTTCTTTAGAGTTATAACAACCAGTTGCCCATGAAGTCAAATAAAAAGAAATTACAGTCAATGAAAGAGCTTAGTAAGTATCTTAACTGTTCTTGACTACTCTTTCCCAAGATTAGAATCATTTCACAGTATGACAGAATGTTAAGCAAAGTAAAAATATGTATGTTGGCTCCCATACAGGGCCTTGCCTGTCTTTGTAAGCCTAGATGGCTACTGATCACATTTTAAAGTCAGTGAAAAGTAATCTCAAGTTTCACCTGACTTAAGCTGAAGAGAATAAACAGAACAATGAGTAAGTAGAAGGAAATTCTGAGATATGAAGGTTTGGGGGGTGGTTTACTGAGATGACTTTGAGGGGTAGAGAATGATAGAAACTAGTTTTCACTTGTCCAAGGTTTTATTCATTCTCCATAATGCAAGTTTATTGTAACTTGATCTGTATTCAGTCATTTTTCTATCAATGTATATTATCATTTTGACTTGTTTTTAACACCCCATTCTTTTTGAAAATTAGAAAATATTTGGGCTCAATATTGGATCTCTGTGGGAGATTAGCAATTTAATATAGCAGAAGGCTATATTGCAAAGCTGCAACAAGAGCTCGGTTGACTGAAAGTATAAGAAGTGTGTATATGGTCAAAGGGGGTCTCAGACATCTCATGGATGATAACAGCCTACACTGAGCCTTCTTCAGGTTTCTAGACATATCAGTGACTAAGAACCTAAGGATAGTAATTTTGGAAACCTTTCCACAATTTGATAAAATGTGCCATATTTTCATTCCTATAATCTGTTTCATATATTTAATGCCTGCGGTAAAGCATTTCTCAAGTGTTCTATGGACACTTATGAATACTTTCGTGAGGATAAAATGTAAAAGTAGCTTATTGTTCTAGCGAGTTCTTCTTGGTGGTTAGTACTGTGGGCATTTCACATGAAATTTCCAATCTGGCCATCCATGTGTTGGTATAGTCTTTCCCAAATGTTGGTTTACCATAACAGAAACAGTCCAGATATTGTCTCAAGGAGAAGTTTGGCATAATGTACAGTGTATCTGTAAACAATCAAGAGCCAATGAAACAAATTACAAAACTGCCTTTGGATGTTTATTGCACATGGCACCTATGATTGTATTGAGAAAATTGGAGGGAACATAATAATAGTTTTAAAATACCATTATATGTGTTGAGGTAATTGGAGACATAGCTAAGTGTCATAGACAAAACTGTAAAATCATTAGTATACATATGGTTTATTTTCTTTTTCTCTCTTTTTTTCATAATGGCTTAAAGAAGTGATTTTGACCAAGAGGATTGGAGGGTTATTTTGCTTAAGTATAGTTTTGATTCAATACTGGAAAATGCCATTCCTATATACCTACACTCAACTTCCAGTGAGTGGAAGTTTTTATCTTCATTTAAAAATATGATTATGTTGGATATACTCTTATTTCAGAAGTTTTAGTTTAGAAAAGAAAAGATGACATATTACCCACTACACTTTAAGACAGACTTTTTTACTTAGTTTAATCCTGAAGCATACTAATACTTACATTAAAATAAGTCAAGATCTCAGCAAACTGGGAATAGAAGAGAACATCTTCAACTTGATAAAAAAATCTACAAAAAGTCTACAGCTAACATCATACTTGGTGGTGAGAAATTAGATGCTTTCCCACTAAGCTCAGGAACAAGGCAAGAATGTCCTCACTACTCCTTATTCAACATGGTGCTGTAAGTCCTTGCTAATCCAGTAAGACAGAACAATAAAAAATAAAAAAAAAAATTAAAAAAAGGACATCAAAGGTATACCATTTTAGAAGGAAGAAAGAAAACTGTCTTTGTTCACAGATGACAGGATTGTCTATGCAGAAAATCCCAAAGAATAACAGAAAAATTCCCAGAACTAATAAGCAGTTATAGCAAGGTTACAAGATACAAGGTTAATATACAAAAGCTAACTACTTTCATATACACCAACAATGAACAATTGGAATTTGAAATTGAAAACACAATACCATTTACATTAGCACAAAAAAGAAAAGAAAAATAAGTATAACAAAATATATCTAAGATCTATATGAGGAAAACTAGAAAACTGTGATGAACAAAATCAAAGAAGATTTTTAAAAAAAATTTTATTTATTTATTTGTCAGAGAGAGAAAGAGAGAGAGAGAGCACAATAGGGAGAGTGGCAGGCAGAGAAGCAGGCTCCCCACTGAGCAAGGAGCCCGATGTGGGACTCAATCCCAGGATCCTGGGATCATGACCTGAGCCAAAGGTAGATGCTTAACTGATTGAGCCACCCAAGTGTCCCAAAATCAAAGAAGATTTAAATAAATAAATAGATTTTCCATGTGGATTGGAAAACTCAATATTTGTTGTCTGTTTTTCCTGAGTTGATCTATAGATCCAATACAAGCCCAATTGAAATCTGTTATTTTGTAGATATTGACAAACTGATGCTAAAGTTTATATAAAAAGGCTAAAGTCCCAGAATGCCAGTAAAATATTGAAGGAGAAATATAAAGTTGGAGGATTAACACTACTGAACTTCAAGATTTTCAACAAATGGTGCTGGAACAACTGGATATCCACATATAAGAAAAAAAAGATTCTAGACACAGAGTTTCACAAAAATTAACTCAAAATGGATCATAGACCTGGATATAAAAGGAAAAGCTATAAAACTTCCAGAAGATAACATAGGAGAAAATCTAGTTGATCATAGCTTTGGTGATGACTTTTTAGATACTATACCAAGGCATGGTCCATGAAAAAAACAAAACAAAAAAACAAAACAGAAGTTGGACTTCATGAACATTAAAAACTTCTGCTCTGTAAAAGGTATTTTAAGAGAATTCAAAGTTAAACCACCAACTGGGAGAAAATTCTTTGCAAAACATATATCTGATAAAGGGCTGGTATCCAAAATATACAAAGAACTCTTAAAATTCAACAATAAGAAAACAGTCTAATTTTAAAAATGAGCAGAAGATCTGAACAGACACTTCACCAAAGAAGATAAGCAGGGAGATTACTGACATCATTTATCATTTAGGGAATTGTAAATTGAAACAGGGAGATACCACTACATACCTATCAGAATGGCTAAAATTGAAAACACATAACATCAAATGCTGATGAGTATGTGGAGCAACAGGTGATGGGAATGCAAAATAATACAGCCTCCTTGGAAGATAGTTTAGTAGTTCCTTAGAAAACTAAACATAGTCTTGGGGCGCCTGGGTGGCTCAGGTTGTTAAGCATCTGCCTTCGGCTCAGGTCATGATCCCCAAGGTCCTGGGATGGAGCCCTGAGTCGGGCTCTCTGCTCCGTGGGGAGTTTGCTTCTCTCTCTCACTCTCCCTCTCTGCTTTCTCTCTCTTAAATAAATAAATAAAATCTTAAAAAAAAGAAAACTAAACATAGTCTTATCATACAATTCAGCAATTGTGCTCCTTAGTATTTACATAAAGGAGTTAAAAATTTATGTCTACATATAAGCCTGCACATGAATATTTATGGCAGCTTTTTTTTATAGTTGCCAAA